GGCCTTCCCACAATAGCAGTATTATAAGAGTGGACGGTTGATCGTACCGTCCAGTATTATGAGACTTAAAGGCCTTTCAGGTCGACTCCACCGGAAGCGCTGCTCTCGATGTTGGACTTGCGTCTGTCCCGTCGAGGCACTCCAGTACACTCCAGCCCTTGACTCCAGCAAACTCCGGCGACGCCAGCAACAACACAGATCTATATAAGAACGCCCGCCGTCCCGTCCTAGATCCGTCGTTAGATCTTCGAACCCACTGCCGGACGGTCCGGCACGTGGTGTTCGGACCACGTCCATTGTCGCTCTCATCTGCTCTATGATACGTGCTTGTATTTCTACTCGATCTGCTTGTGATTCACCTTATTGACTCGAGCTCGGCATATCTGGGCTTTGACGCTAGGACTGGTAGAGGAATGGTAGGCGGGAAGGTGACAAAATATGGTGGGGTGTCGAAAGCTGTGATAATGCAGTCTGGTAAGAGACGTACGCAGACACTCTTACATGCATCAAAGCAGAATGAGCGTAAGGCCAGGATGGCAAAAGACCGGTCAGAGGCTCTTCAAGGTATGCTACTATTACACTTAACTTCTTTTGTGCAAGTCGATGGCGCTCGGTTTACAGGCATGTCGATGGAGGAACGCGACATCGTGATGCAGATGGATGGTGATCTGGAGGCGGCGCCTGATCTCAGTGATCAGGCGCTGAATAGTATGCCGCCGGGAGAAGAGGGGTACGGTCTAAGCCATGAAGGAGGTGAGTATGAGGTCTTCGAAGATTTCGCGAATGATTTGGCCCAGTTAACTGGCATGTGAGTATTCATGTCATGTCTTCGTCGTGCCTGCTGACAAGTCCTACAAAGCCGACGTCTGGATGACCGGGACCGAACCCGGCGCGTTGAGACCCGCAACTCCGAGTGGAGAATGCAGTATGAAGACCTCGTCGACGCGTACTTGGAATACCGCATGCACGAGACCGACGATATGCAGGACGGCGGCACGCAGTCGGACGAGTCTGACCACGGCTCACTAATTATCGAGGCGGTCGATGTTTTCTGTAAGTCAATAGTCACTGCTGTCCGGGTTGAAACATATATCTAATACGTGCTTGCTGGCAGACCGCAAACAACGGATGTTCACGGTCTCGCCGACGGACACATTCCCGAATGCCGCGTTGGTGCGGCAAGGTTTCATCGGCTGCTCTCCCCTTCACCCATCTGTTGCAATATCTATCCGATCACTTGCCGTCTACCGCCAGTCTCACCGTGTATGCCCCCGACTAAGTATCCAAGCCGAAGTTCGGAAACTGTGTCACCTTCATAATGTAAGTGGTTATTCTATGTTCTGATGTTGAGTACATTCATGTGTGTGCTTTGAGGTTCCATACCACCGGTATCTTGCCGACCAGTATAGCATTGCATATGACGTATATCTCGAGGTGCTGCACCGGGTACATAATAGACTAGAGCACGCATTAGGGCACGATGAGCCAGACTGGCGGCTCAAGAATGCCTGTCCGGCGTGTTTCTACAAGCTCGAGGATGAAACACCATTAAAGTTTTCCTTCCTATGTCAAATGGATGGTAATAATTCACTCAAGAGGACTGATGCCAATGTAATACGTAAATATCCCGAACGCTTAGACTCGCGCGGTCCAAGGACGGACTACTGGTTATCGCCTGAGGAGGTCGATAAATTCAAAGATGAAGTTAAGGTGTGCCTCTTGCCCAATGCCAAAGCTAAGATTCGGCTATGACCTGTCGTAGGGAAGTGGTCGGCGCAAGGCTAAATCAGGTGCAGAAGACGATGAAGATTATGACGACGATTGGGAAGATCTTCCTGAAACAGACCCCGTGTCAACCTGTATAGACCGCTGGCGAAATGCGGGACCCGAACAGCGCAAGAAAATGTTTGCACTTTTTGACGAGTCTGGCATATTTTTGGCTGCATGCCGACATGGAACTGTCCTCCTGATATGCGACATGATTCGGAGCGGCGAGCTGTAAGTTCTCCCATCTCCTTCCATTTGATAGACAACTCACAATTACATACTACAGTGCTAAATACCCCCTTGCGACAGTCAATAAGATCCTGGATGTCCACGGATCAGACATTGCATGCGGCTTCGATATTGGTTGCGCGTTCGAGAAGACTCTTGCGAAGAGCAGTCTATCCCCCAAAGTGAAGGATCTGCGCCTCCGTATGGTTGTCGGGTCGTTTCATGGTCATGCCCACAATCGTGGATGCCAGCTAGGCTGGCATCCCTTGTATGTACCAGGTATAGGACGTGCTGATCTTGAGGGGTGTGAGAGGGTTTTCTCTTCATCAAATGCTCTAGCCCCGGGAACAAGGCATGCATCCAAGTTTCACAGGCATCAGGCAGTCGAGGAACATTTCGCCTTTTGGGATGCTGACAAGTATGCTAATCTATGTGAGCTAGTCCTGTCATTTTTCTTTCAATTGTCACAAAAAGTTTCTCTCAGCGACCTTGCTTGCAAATCATTATCGCGAGGCTTTGAAGATAGTCGGAGAACGCATGGAAGAACTGAGCGCTTTGAAGGCAGGACTCGGAATTGACGATGACAGTGAATTTGAAGGCTTCTTGCGACAGGAGCGTCTTTACCTCAGCAACCTAAAGAAAGAGCCGCCGGAAGAAGCCCTGCGCTTTGAATACCTGGAGGCGCTAGATAACGCGGCGAAGCTTAGGTGCGCTAATCTGCTATGTTTGTATACAGGATTTTGTTTATTTGCAAGTAGTATGTCACTCAACGAGGCACGCGGCCAACTTAATCGGCTGCAGAGCATCCCCGCAGGTGATGATATGCGTGCCAAATTGCTAGACACAATCAAGACGGTTTCACTGTGTCAAAAGAAGTGGGAAAGTGCTGAGACAACCGTATTACAGCTGGAGAGGCAGCTCGGTATCGAACAGCGATGGGAGGAATCCTCGTCGCAATATATCACTGCGAAAGCAAAGGTCGCAGAACGAAACTACCGCAAAGCACTCGACGCGCTCGAGCGCCTTGTTGTGCAACGACTATTTGAGCTTACGAAACTGAATATGTCCGGTACCGGTGCGTCGACTGTAGCTAATCTATATTCTAGCATCTGATGATATCGAGCTCTAGGCTATAAGCTTCGGACTCAGATAACGAAGGCTTTACAGCGCCGTTCCGACACGATCAAACGCGCTCTCCAGCACTACAATATGCAAGCTGCGCAGTTGAATCCGCCGCGACCGACCCTCACATGGAAGCAGATCGTTGATTATACATTCATTGCCGAATTCGACCTACTACACTTATCTCGCGAAGATATACGGGACTACCGCTGGGCTCAGCCAGCTGTACGAGAAGCTACGGTCAAATACCTTGAGCTCCAACGTGCTCAAGAGGAGATCGCGAGACTCAATGTCGAAATACGGCGCCTGCGTACGGCAATACACGACGAGCAGTCTCACGTCGCTGAGACCTTGGGACGCCTCACTCGCGATGACCTCCCCCTCGCTACAGAACTTATGAAACGGTGGCACTTACGGCTCGCTGTCAACAAGATTCATTCGCAACGCCTTGACCGTGTAGAGGCTTGGTCTGGCTTTTCCGGAATCCGCGGTATCGGGAGACGCGCAGGCATACACACTGCAAGGGGTGACCCTGTGGAGGTAACGGAAGCCACTATGAGTGGTGAGGACGACTCTCACAGTTCAGATGCAATAGCGGCGGAAGAGGATGCTTCAGAGGATTTAGAAGGGCTTGTAGATTTCGTTCTGCAGATAAGTTAAAGAGTACCATGTAGATTACATAGATCAAACTATATTCAGCCTGAGTATCCACTCGCAGTACAGTATTGAAGATATTTCAGTGAATTAAAGCAGGAAATTGGGTTACGCAGCTCTGAGCCTCTGACTGTATACACGCCATTTCGGACGTGTCCGAACAGACTGCAACCGCTTGCAAGCGCCACTGCTCACGCATCCGCCACCTTCCCTGTACATTGTCCATTAACTCTTGTCATGGCTGCTCTCTCGACGTCAGATCTGGCAGATGATGGACTGCAAATGCGGATCGCTAAAGAACGGCAGAACAAGCTGTTTTATATCCGATACATCCCAAACGCACCTCTCGCTATGACTGGATTCCGTGCCATCAAGTTGTCAGGGACTAGCACTGACAACAGGGACTTTGATCTCCTGGGGAATGGGGGCCTTCATGAAGACTACATCGTGCCGGGGCCCAGCCCTGAGGAGGATAGACAGTATGAAACAATCGGGAAGACCATGAACATGGTTCGGGATTTGGTACGTGGGAGTCGCATCGCCTGTTCCAGAGTTGTCTAACACCACCAGTGTGCATACATGGACCGCAGTGATGGCGGATTCACGTTTGTTCTCAGAACACGCGGTGCTGCAATCCCTACCGATTCCGATCGCTCATGCGGACCCATGGTTCCGCTGCAATTGTACTTACCGGCGCGGGAGGTATCGGAGGCCTTTGACATCGTCAACGTCGTGGACCGTATAAAGCGGATATTTGTCGAGGATATTGCATTACCGCACTTCCGGCGCTTTGCAGAGCGTTGTGAGCGTTCGAATATCGAGCCAGTTCAACTAGAACTTGAGGAGTTCGATTCAGGCGATGACAGTCAAGTGACGGAAGATGGGACAGAGAGCTCTGAGGTATGTTCATGCTGCCAATGCCGTCTGAGAATTTGAACAAGCTCACAACTGCCGTGTCGCTATATGCTGTAGGATCCCGCCAATCAGCGTGATAGGTTACCAGATGAAGTTATCGAGAAATGGCTGTCATGTGGAAGTCTAGAGGAAGCAGAGGAGTACATACGTCCATTTCTAGCACCGGCAGCAGCAGAACCAAGCCTGGACAGGAAACCTGTGGTCAATCAGACGTGGGGTGCTGCGAACGACAACTCTTCACATATCACGTCTCGGGTCCCGATTATCAGCATTGGTTCTCACACAGATGCAGTCATCGACCAGCTGCATCTGGACGACAACCTCATCCCAAAGCTCCATGAAATTCCCTGCTCTGTACGCAGCTCTCGCTGGAAAGAGGCTATTCTGCGTGATGGATGGGATTTGTCGGAGAGCGACGCTCATAGCCTTGCTCAGGCCATGTTATCCGACATATGCGGAGACTTGAAAAGGCACTACAAGGTACGTGCCAGATAAAGTTCAATACACAGAGATGAATCACTTCTCTGACTTTCTCTGACAGGTCTCGGAAGCAGGGATTAGACGCTCAGGCTGCATGTCGACGTTGGTTGTTATCATTCTTATTGAGACGAGTCTGCTTGTCTTTTTGTTTGCACTTCAAAATGTAGAATAGAAATCTGTATAACTCCAGGATACCACAAGTACTTCTATGCGCCTTTCTCAGGTCACGTGCACCGTGTCGCGACGCGTATGGGGCGTCTGTTTACATCTTTGTTTGCTGCTGTATGTGCACTCAGTTCACGGGATGCCATAAACTGACGATTCTTTTCCCTCATCACCATCATCTTCCCATCCCGTCACCATTTCACCTGTTATGGGCAGTGGACACACAAGGCTTTACGGCACCACCCCATGTCCTGGAGCACAGCAGCCTCGGGCTAGCCGGCCTCCGAGGGTCAAGCTCAGCGCCAAAGCCCTGGAGA